TCAAAACTAACTCGGGATCTCGCAAAAGTTGAATTCCAACAATGGCGGCAGCTACTTAGTTGTAATATTACTCTTTCTGGGTCACAAAATACACTTTTAAGATATTTTGAGGCGTGAATGTAGTTGTGTAAACGTCAGATACCTGCTCGGTTTACAAGACATCACATATTTACAAAAGTGCTCCGACGTTTTTGGAGATCTGACACCCACCATCTCGAAGCTAACGGGAGGTCGAGACCTACTACAGCCGGGAGGAATACCGCTTTCCCGGCACATCGTGCCTCGACCTCCCGGTCGGCTTCAAGCTGGCGGCCTCCAAAGAATGCGGCTAAAACTTTTGCGAGATCCCGAGTTTGTTTTGCAAGATCTCGCAAAAGTCCGTCATAATTTTTTTTTTCTCCCATGTCCCCTGCGGGGCTCCGTAGTATATGGAGTGGTTTAAAATGGAGCACTGTAACAAAAAATAATTTCCCCCAGGGATCAATAAAGTATTCTGATTCTGATTATGATTCTGATTATATAAAAATTGGTGTATTTCAAAAATAAAAATATGAAGACACTTAAATTAAATTTCCTGTGGTGGGAAACTATTTTGTGCAACTTTTTTGTATTTGCAGTTTTGAGAGATAAGCCTCTTAAATTTCTCTAACTATAAATATATGTTAAAAAAACAAAAATGATTTTTAATTTTTTTGTAGTTTATTGCACTTTTTTGCAATTTATGTAATTACTATGCACTTAATGCAGACATATTATTAAAATTTGGGCTATAATGGTTGTATTGATGTATATCAACTTGAAATGCTCCCAAAAATGGCACTACAGCATATAAAATATAATATAAGCTCTGGCGGACTTGGTTCTGTGGTTCTTAAAGGGTTAAACAGCTTATGGCTGGGGTGGCTGGAGTCCTTATAACCAATAACCAATCCTATGTGTGCAGAGACTTTTATCTCATAAACTGAAAAACAATGTCAGATTTTGGTGTCATTTGAAACCTTATTATCAGTAGGAATAGACCAGTTTCCTTCATCTTTTTTTTTTTACCGATTTATATTATCTTATAAAATAACATGATCGTGGACAAATAACTTAAGAAAGTACCATTCAATATTAGTTTTAATGGATTACATTAGGTTTACACCTAATACATTTGACAGTGTCAGCCCCACAGACAGAAAGAGACAGCACTTATTTCTGAAGAGGGGCTCCAGATACATTTAATTCAAATCTTGTCAGGTGTTTGAAAAGGATTTGCCACAGGCAGTCGCTTCAAACATTTTAAATCCCCATCAGCCACAGAAACATACCTTGGATATCCTATTTCAAATATAGTCACACACAGAAAATCCCATTGAGCTAATATTGCTGCGGCAGATTATTGGTCACAGAGCTGCAGATGAGGAGACTCTTCCTATTTTATTTTCTCTTGCTCTAATTATCATTAATCACTATTAAATGGAACATTACACCCACATTTGCACCACAGTAGCTTTGTTGTGAAGGATCTTGGATTAAAATTGCATCAGAACACCAGTCATGGCTTGTTTTGAAGAAAAATATCAGTGAAGAAAAAAAAAAAGCGAAATTTGGGTTTATGCTCAATTACCATTGCAGTTTATTTTGTATTAGCACAGCAGATTTTATCGGAGATGCTTCTAATTCTGTCACATTAGAAAAAAAAACATGGTGAAAAACGACAGCAAAAAGCCAATGCAGATACAAATCTAGAGTGTGATCAGCATATTTGTACATGGCAGCAAGACTTCTCCATTTGCAGGTTTCTTGATACTATACATTATCCTGTTAATCTGAAGAAGGGTCCAAGGATTAACTGAAGCTGAGATGGGGAGCATCATTTCCAGCCCAGCGCTTAGAAAGCTGTTAGTGCTAAGCACCCTTCTTTCCCGTATCGACTTGCTGTCTCCATATTTCCCTATCCCTGAGGGCACCGAGCCATCATGCCATAAAGAGACTGTCATGACCCCTTGTTGTGAGTAATAGTGACCATTCATACCCTATTCATTCAGTGCAGCTTTCCACCCAGGTTTAACTGACCTAAAAATGGCCAAAGAAGCTGCTAACTCACCAAGTACTTAGAAGAGCTGCATTCAGTGGAAAGTTTTAGTGTGGTTGTTTTTTTAAAAGATTTCCCATGGAATCATGTGCAAAATTATTCTTTAATCTTTTGATATATTTCCAGTATTTATCAAACAAGCTATGGTTTGATGTTTGACTTAATGCTGGCCTTGTTTCATTGTTACTGTTGATGTATTAGGTGAATCCCATATTTTTCAGCTTTAAGCCGAAACATTATTTTTTGTTATATGTTTTTGGAAATTTTTGATGGTAATGCTTCTGCAAATGTAAGTCGTAATAATGAAATCTCTTTCTGCCATTCCTGAAATTGATTATTAAGAACTTAGCTCTGAAAAGCTAGCTCTGACAATATACATTAAATGCTTTGTGTGTTTTTCAGTGTGTGGAAGATATTAAATAGCAGTCCCTTGATGACTAAAATATAATTGTTTGCTACAGATTTCAGTGTTGTTGATAATGGAAAAGAATGGAGGAGAGGCTTGTTGTAGATGTTTGTTGTTGCCTTCAAACATGTAGTTACAGTTGTGAAAGGATGTAAACCTAAAAGTTATTGATGGCTAAACCTAATCAAACAAGGGAAAACAGTTAGTTAAAAAAATGTGAAATGTGTTTTCAGTCATCCAGATCATTGTAGTCTGAGGAGCTTGGAAAGAAAAGCGTCTGGATTTCTTTAAGTTTCCTTGAAGACGTTTCACCTCTCATCCGAGAAGCTACTTCAGTTCGAAGAGCAACTGGTGGAGCACTCTAGGCCATTTGACCTCAGTAAATCACATGATAGGGTGGGGCTAGATTTCACAATGGGTTCACCCAAAACCCTGGCTGATTGTGACGCACATCCATTTTCACACCTTGGCTCGTGTGATTAGGTAGAAGATCAATAGGGTCCATGAGGGTCCATTACCCTCTTGGGGACACTCCCATAGGGTTTAAAAATCTGGGGCTCCCCACCAATTGCTTTTAGGACTGAAGAAGCTTCTCGAATGAGAGCTGAAACATCTTAAAGAAGTCCAGACGCTTTTCTTTCCAAGCACCTTAGAAAGATGGGTTGTGAACTTACCTTACTTGACTTATAGTACTTAGAATGTTCCAATGAAATTCTTGTGCATTGTAGGCCTTTTCCCACTCAGAACTCTAGTGTTACGGAACTACATAATATTCAGCAGAATGAAACACAGCGTTACCGCTGAATCTAAGTAACATGTTCCTGTTACATTGATAGAGGTGTTGAACTTAATAGTTAGTGTGAATTGTTTGAACAGCCCGAAGCTGCAATAAATGATGAGGTACAGTAGGCTCACACATAAAATTACCTTCTTCTGCTCTTTCTGTAACTATTTCTGTGTCTAATTACGACCTCTATTTTCTCGCTCTTTTTTCCTTCTCTATTTGGCAGACATTCTCACTTTATTATGGCCCACATTGGCCTTTTATTGCCCACCAGCAGCACACTTTGGGCAATTTGTCATTGGGAGAGTGGGGATGAGTTCTTTTGGCTGCCTCTGCCACTCTCACCTAAAAATCTAATCAGATCAGCAAAGGACTCTAATCACTTCCTCTCTTGCCTTGATTGCATTTATAGAAGTTCTGCTGTGCTGCACTCTCCCAATCAAGTATTCCATAATTACTCTCCTCTTATAATTGTTTATTTATATACCCCTGTACAGTATGCTCTTTGCCAGTGAGTGAGGAGAAGTTTATGGAGGTGAGGAGGGAAAGCCTTCGAGAAAAATCTGAAAATTATTGCCAGCCGTTTGTGCTTGAAATAAGTCATTTACCACCTTTGTATTCATGGGGTCATTGTGTATTACCACATATTGAAAAACTATAACGTAAAGGTAATACATTTTTAGGCATTCTGCCAATCTAAGAAGTAAGTGACAGATTTTTTAATACCCAAAAAAGGAGACTTTTTCTCCTGTGCTAATATTTGTCTGCTTGGACAAAATACTATGGGTATAGTTTTTTTATTATTTATGACCCAAATGCTAAGCTAATCAACCATCCACAATGCTATGGGTTAGGAGTAACTGTAACGGAACTGTAACCCCTAAAGCAAAGAAGATATTTTGTGAAAAAATAGTAAATAGTTTTTGATGCGGGCAGCACGGTGGCACGGTGGTTAGCACTGTTGCCGCACAGCAAGAAGGTCCTGAGTTCAATTCCACCATCAGGCCGGGGTCTTTCTGTGTGGAGTTTGCATGTTCTCCCCGTGTTTGCGTGGGTTCCCTCCGGGTACTCCGGCTTCCTCCCACCGTCCAAAGACATGCAGCTTGAGGGGATAGGTTAATTGGAAAATCCAAATTGCCATTGTGTGAATGTGAGTGCGAATGGTTGTCTGTCCCTGTGTGTTGGCCCTGCGACAGACTGGCGACCTGTCCAGGGTGTACCCGGCCTCTCGCCCTATGACAGCTGGGATAGGCTTCAGCACCTGAAAAGGATAAGCGGAAGCGAATGGATGGATGGATGGATGGATGGATAGTTTTTGATGCATGAAGGATGATTACATTTTTTGCAATGGGAGATTGTTTAGCTTTCTCAGCAGGCTGGCCTTGGAGCAAATAATGACAGAACATCCCCGTCTTTTAATGTCCTTCATATTACTTCTGTCCTTATACACATTAAGTATACAAACTATCTGCATGTCAGCTGCTTCCATTTTAATTTACCAGAGATTTGTATTGATTTTCCCTTTTTAATCATCTGATATGCTAGCCATAAAGAAAGATTTAAGTGAATGATTGAGTATCAGTACAAGGCAACTATACATTCTTGACAAAGGTGCTCAAAGGTTTCTATTTTATAGTAACTGTTTCAAGCACCTTCATGATGTTTAAACTAAAACTATCAGACTGATGTTTTTCTTTCTGTAATTCCCTACTTCTCTTCTCTTTATGTTCCAGGTTCAGCTGATCCACTACAATCATGAGCTGTACACAAATTATACAGAAGCTGCAAAAAGCCCCAATGGACTGGTCATAGTGTCTATATTCATGAAGGTAAACCTCATACATATGTTTAATCACTGCGCGAATACAAATGTGTACTTGTATTCACTCACAGAAATGGAATTTTATCTTGACACAGAACAACTTACAGTTACTATGGCGTTCTGACTTATAGCAATAAAATCCAGTAGAATGCAAATTACTACATTCTGAGTTTTATACATTCATACTGAATCTGGGCATAAACGCCATGTTAATTTTGACCTGGTTTAATCAGTTTTTAAGTATTACAAGCCAGTAACAATATACTTATTCAAGAATAACTTAAAGCAGTTTTCCTACTTTGACAGAATTCCATGACTTCTATGAGTGTGGAACTCACTGTCATGAGTCATGAGTGCTCCCGGAAAATTCCAAAATAAAAAAATTAAATTAATTTTTTTCACCTCAAAGTTCTACACACAATACCATATAATCACAAAGCTAAAAACATTTGTTTGACATTGTTTCAAATGCACAAAAAATAAAACATCTACGTAAGTTCATGTGGGTGGCTGCAGGTCAGGAGGTATAGCAAGTCATCTACTGATTGGAAGGTTGGTGATTAGATTCCTGGCTCCTCCAGTGTGCATGTCAAATATCCTTGGGCAAGATACTAACCCCCAGTTGCTGTCTGATGCTGTCTGATGCATGCATCAGAGTATGAATCTGAATGTGTGTGAATGTTAGGTAGAAAGCATAGGTGTGAATGGGTGAAGGTGGCATGTTGTATAAAGCTTGTTGAGTGCTCCAGGAGAGTAGAAAAGTGCTATATAAGAATCAGTCCATTTACCATTTATTTAAAACCTTTACAATTACACTCATATTTGAGCTCGGGTGCATTCTGTTTGATTGGAGCCCATCTATGGTAAATTTAGTTGACTGGACATGATTTGGCAAGAACTGTCTATATGAGGTCCCACATTTGATAGGATATGTGAGAGAAACAATGCCATGTTTCTCTCACATACACAGCTGGGACGAATAGAAATAATGACACAGAGAAGCAAAACTAAACACACTGAACACAAGAGACTGCCGAAACAAAACAGGAAACACTAAGACACAAATTCAACATGTGGCAAGACACATGGCTGGGAGGGAGGAACGCACATGAGAACAGAATTGACTGGAAAGACAGAGGAGGGGGCCAAAAGAGGGAAACACTGACATAATTCAGTGTACATACATGAATACACAAGAGAGGCAGGCAGGGGGAACGTGGAGTGAAACACAAGGAGGAACATGTAAACAGAAAATGGAAACAAGACAAAGGTACACACACACACGGGAAGTGAGGAACAAAACACAAGGGGAACCTCATAAACCTGATAATTAAGGAATTCAATAAATAAGGGATTATAGGAATAATAAACTGAGATCAGCAGAAAAATCCGAAACAATAACAAGAATAAATTCAGGACTGTGAAACTTGAATCATAATAACACAAAAACGCTCAATAAAACAAAATAAACTCCAAAAGCTGTGTCCAACACCCAGCAAAGCTTTGCTTGACAGTGTGTTTTCATTTTAGTTATGGAGGTCAGAGTAAAGGATGGACTTGAAGCCATTAGCTGAACAAAAATCTGATTTTCATGAGTTCATGTCAGGCAAGGTTAGACAAAAAAATAAATCTTTGATTTTTACCATACCTAGCATTCTAGGAATTATCTCAGTACTAGACAACTGGAGGACAGGCTTTTGAACAGGCATGTAGCCAGAAACTGAGACTTACTATACCAGTAACAGCCTTTTTCCCCAGCCACAAGGAAAGTGAATGTTTGTTTGTTTTGTCTTTAGCAATTTGTGTTTCCAGAGCAATTCATCCAGGTAAGTTTATATGGTACTGTCCTAGCATATTCCTTCATTATTCTTGTTTTGACAATTAGCTGTACACCTGCTCTGGATATCTGCTCCGTAATAGCATAAGTGCCTAAATGACTGCAAAGCTGCTGTAAGAAATGTCATCTTACGGCTTAGCTGTTTCTCCAAGCACGCACTGATGAGGACACTTTAAAATGTTTCACAACTGTTTACCTACAGAAAATAGTGAGTTGCTTGTCAATTGAATATCAGTTCCACTTTCATCAGCATGCAAATTCAGCAGTGTGTGAGACTGGGCCACAAGATGAAACTCAATATCACAACATGAGTAAGAATATGTGGATGTATGTATACAATAATCAAATAACAAAGGAAGCAAAATCATAGTAAAAATGTGTGGAAAATGCAAACTAAAAACAAACAAACATCGGGGGTTTCAGTAGCCTATCCTCATTTTCATATACTTCTTAAGCAAAAAGAAAATCACAAGGTTATGTCTTTGTTTTAAATAAGAGCTATACATGGAATCCATTACCTAACCCAGTAGTAAAACTCACAGGGGTCAAACTGGCCCAGCAGTGTTTCCGTCTATTGTGGATCCACAGAATTAACAACTTGGCTCAGAAACTGATTGTCTCCTTCTTCCACTCTTCTACTGAGTGTGCGTCGACCTAAAGCATGTCTGCATGGTTTGCCATCTGCTTCTCAGCAGAGTGAAGTGCACTCATAAGGGCCATTTCCACTGCCCAGAAAATTATCCATTACCCACTTGCCTCCCATGAAGACATTTACAACTCCTGCTACCTCAACAGAGGCAGACTTCAGTTCAAGTTCTGCTGTCATTAGAGCACAGTGTTTGAGGCTTTTTTAATAGTCTCCTAAAAAGGTGATAGATTAAAAAAATACACTCTCATTATACTTGGAAGTACTGTCCCAAATAGATTAAATTTCGTTTAATCATACAAGAGCAGAGCTCTCAACTCATTATGTGACCATTTAACCTCACTCTTTTGACCCTCTTTTTTCCTTTTCTCTTTTTTCTAGATTGCTGAGACCTCGAACTCATTCCTGAATCGAATGCTGAACAGAGACACCATCACAAGAATAACATATAAAAGTAGGTGGTTGTGTGTAATAAGTTGTTAAAGCACCAATCATAAATTGGCCAAGCAGCATGCTCTGCATAGTGCTCCAAGTGGATCACAGTTCATGTGGTTTGCATGGTTGGGTTGGATAGAACCTGTCCAGTGTCATCATCCTCAGCACAGAGGGGAGCCCTCAGGACTGTGTTCTGAACCCTCTACTTTTCACCCTGTTGATACGTAACTGCATCCCCAGGGTTGCTACCCATCACATCGTGAAGTTTGTGGATGACACAGTACATGGTGGGCTGGTCAGAATCAACAACCTGAATATCGATAAAGCTCGGGAGGTCATTGTCAACATCAGAACCAACCCAGCCACGTCCCACTTCTCATCAACAACACAGCTGTGGAGGTGGTCAGTAGCACCTAGTTACTGGGGCTGTACATCACGGATAACCTCATGTGGTCTGTGAACACCATGTCACTGGGGGTGGGGGTGTTGTTGGGTGGCAGAGGTGGATCTTTTGGGTCCACTAGGAGGAGCAGCAAAAAAGCATGGATTTTAACAGCTGTCAAAACTCTGTCAGATATGCTGTTTCGCACACACTGACTCACAGAAACACACATACAGATGCTGTCACACACCACCCACTCATACCCATGAGTCCTTAGGCATATCCCTCTCACAGCCAATAATGCTACCAGCCCAGCGTTTTTCTGTTTTTCTTCCCAAAAGCACAGATTTACACTCAGGTGTATATGAAGATACATATACATTAAAAATCCACACCATCAAATATCAGTGTAGGTGGAGTGGCCTAAAGTGCTTTTTATTTTTTCACAGCTCCTATTCCTTTGATGCATCAGTTAGTATTTAGTAGTGATGCAGCTGATTCAGCATTAAAGCTGCAGCAGCCCTCCACTGTGACCTCAGCACAATCAGTAGCCCATTTGTCATGAGAGGACTAGTAGACAGCAAGTTATAGCGAATGGAGGGGGAGAAAGAGAGGAAGAGGAAGTTGTAGTCTGTCCAATTAGCATCCTGACAGTGGAGACAGTTTGAATAAAAGAGGTTTTGTGTTGCCACACCAACAAGCTGTCATTCACAGAACAGCAAATGAAAGAAGTGAGAAAAAATGAAAGAGTTGTAATGATAACCAGACTCCGTATGAGAAGTGACTCAAATTACAGCTTATTTGTTACACCAGTGTATTTCACTGTTTACTACTCAATTGGAGTACACAGATTTATGCCATCCACTGTATTTGTTCTACAATTGCAGTTGAGTTAGGGTACCCTAGTAAGTTTCTGTATGAATGAAAATATCAGCTCAGCAATTTATGTTAAATACTGAATTTTATAACCATCCATCCATCCATCTTCATCCGCTTTATCCGGGGCCGGGTCGCGGGGGCAGCAGCCTAAGCAAAGAGGCCCAGACCTCCCTCTCCCCAGCCACCTCCTCCAGCTTATCCGGGGGAATACCAAGGCGTTCCCAGGCCAGCCGAGAGATATAATCTCTCCAGCGTGTCCTGGGTCTGCCCCGGGGCCTCCTCCCGGTGGGACATGCCTGGAACACCTCACCCAGGAGGCACCCAGGGGGCATCCTTGTCAGATGCCCAAACCACCTCAGCTGGCTCCTTTCGATGTGGAGCAGCAGCTGCTCTACTCTGAGCCCCTCCCGGATGGCCGAACTTCTCACCCTATCTCTAAGGGAGAGGCCAGCCACCCTTCGGAGGAAGCTCATTTCTGCCGCTTGTATCCGCGATCTCGTTCTTTCGGTCACTACCCACAGCTCGTGGCCATAGGTGAGGGTAGGGACGTAGATCGACCGGTAAATTGAGAGCTTCGCTTTTACACTCAGCTCCCTCTTCACCACGACGGACCGGTGCAGCGTCTGCATTACTGCAGCTGCAGCCCCGATCTGTCTGTCGATCTCCGGCTCCTTTCTCCCATCACTCGCGAACAAGACCCCGAGATACTTGAACTCCTCCACTTGGGGCAGGAACTCATCCCCGACCCGGAGTGGGCACTCCACCCTTTTCCGGCTGAGAAACCAGTTTCATTAAAATCATACACTGACTCATTTTTAGAGCTATGGCCAAAACAAAACAACCTGCAAGCTTTAATAAAAACTGAAGCAAATGCAGATGTGCCATAAACCTACATAATGACCAACATGTGGCTAATCCTCTAGTTGCAAAAAGTCTTCAGGCTGTATAGAAGCATATCGTTAGCTTCATAGCATAATTGCCTAAGTCATTGGACTAAGTCAATGACTTAGGCAATTATGCTATGAAGCTAACCATATGGGAAACTCAGTAGAAACTTTAGTTTGAATCACTAATGTTAGGTCATACTAAATACAACATTTTGTGAATTATAGTCCCTGTTAGAGTAAGGAAATGCTCACTGACTAATAATCTGTCAATCACAAGTTTTTTGCCAACTTGGAGGACTGGATTTAGATTCCAAACATCAAGAAGAAAAATGTGGAGCTCAAAGATTTCATTAAGCATTAACCAATTAGCGATGTCACAGTGACTATGTGCATCCTTTATATACAGTCACATTTACGTTGCATGGTACTCTAACAATTGTGCTGTATGAATCAGTCTCCATAAAGATATACACCAGAGAGTTGTGCATGTCTCTAAATAATGGAGTGCTGCTTCTCCTTGGTCAGGTTGGTCGAATTTGGTGCCAGTGTCCAACTCCCAGATCTGATTACTTTCTGAATATCTAAAAACATTTGGACAATGATTTAGCTCTCACATATCTTTCCCTTATAATACTACCACTTATTTAAAGTCAAACAAAAAACACGTGACTGAAAACTTTCAGCACTGATTACAGAATTACAGCCATTTTTTGACATAGTTCCCCATTTTTAAAGACTCAAAAATAATTGGACAAACTAGCATAACTGCAAATAAAATGATTGCTTTACTGCTTGGAAGAAAATCACAGTATATGATAATCTTTTAGTAATTTGTTTACAAATCCATTAATTTTTACATGTGGAATACAATTTTTGTACAACTACATTTCCAGTGTCTTCCGATGAAACATTAGAGATCTCATTTTGTTTCGGTTTTCTGCCTTTTTACCCTGCAGATGATGCATATCTACTGAATGGCCTGAACATAGAGGAGATTTATCCAGAAACAAGTAGTTTTATCACATATGATGGATCGATGACCATCCCTCCATGTTTTGAGACTGCCACGTGGATCTTGATGAACAAGCCAGTGTATCTCACACGGATGCAGGTGAGCCTCATCCACCAGCACAGACCTGAAACAAAGCAACCAGAATACACTGGGGCTTACCTGTCTCAGATCAGGATTCTCTCTCAAAAAATTACTCTGTGAAATATGTCTACTCACATTGAGGCTTTTCCTCCAAAATCTCTCCTCCTGTGTGTAATCTTCTACTCAGACCTTGCTGGAGATTAATGCAGTGAATAAAAAAGGCTGGCTCACATTTCCATGATACTTTAGCCAATTTTGCTTCTCTTCCCTCCCCCTCTTTCTCACTCTCTCTCTCTCTCTGTCTTGATGTTAGATGCACTCCTTGCGGCTGCTGAGCCAGAACCAGCCCTCTCAGATCTTTCTAAGCATGAGTGACAACGTTCGTCCTGTGCAGCCTCTAAACAACCGCTGCATCCGCACCAATATTAACTTCAGCATGCAGGGCAAAGACTGCCCAAACAACAGGGCCCAGAAGCTCCAGTACCGAGGTAAAAACTACTTCTACAAATGGCTGGTTTGGGTAACTTTCTCAGTGTCTGACATTTAAACAATATTTACTTACAGATATTGTGATATCTGTCCTTTCATAAGATCGCACAATTTGGTTATAACATTTGTTTTTGTGCACACAACAGAGCAATTATACAAAAACAAATATATAAAATAGGCAAGTCATATTTCTGTAAAAAAAACAAATCTTTTGAACCCGAAAAAAATACAAAGATGCTGCCGTTATTTTTCTTAGTGGTCATACTAGACTGCTCCTTTACTGAATGTGCTACACTAGGCAACTACTAACAAAAAATGCTAGGAAAGCTTTAAGAAATGTACATTATATGAACAAAAGTACTGAATCTTTTACACTTTACACCTATAGAAGCTAAAAACAACAACAAGCACATCAGAAACAGTTTTGTTGTACATGTACAATCACAAGAAATGACTATTCTATTTTATTCTAATGTTGTATTAAATTGTTTTCAAAATGGCAACAGAGTTTCAAAGTATTTCTCAATTCTGGGCTTACACATTACCAGCCTGGAACTAGGTCCAGATTACAGCAATTATCTTAGTGAATAAACCATTCATTTTGATAAAATGATCCCCACAAATAAGAAATGAGATCATCTTCTTCTTTCAGCTGATTGCACAGGTCATCACAGTGGACTCACAACACAAGCATTCTCTTCTGAAACACTGACTCTCCTTCACTACGTCTATGAATCTTATCTGTCATCATCCTCTTTTCCTCCTTCCTGCCAGCAGCATATTAAACATCTTTTGCCCAGCACATCCACAATCCATCCACTGCACATATAGACTATCTCAGCCTTTCCTCCTTAACTTTGTCTCCAAAACGCTGAACGTTGCCCCTCCGACATGCCTGATTCTAATCAGTCCTTTCTGGTCAATCACAATCAAAATCTTAACTCTACCACCTCCAGCTTTGATTCCTGCCTTTTTGTTACTGCCACAGCTGCCAAACTAGAACATGATAGCAGGTCTCACTACCATCTTGTAAAGCTTCCCTATCATTTTTGTTGCTATCTTCCTGTCACAAATCACCCGTGACACTCATCTCCGCCCACCCGCTCTCTTTTTCACCTCTCTTGTGTATTGTCTGTTGCTTTGTATAACTGACCTCCTTGCAATTTTGCAACTGTCTCCCTCTCATTTACACACATGTATTCCTTCTTGCTTCTCCAGGCTTTAATGCTTTTTCTCTCCAGGCTCTCTCCCACCTGCTGCCTACTCTCACTACAGATCACAATGTTTTCTGCAAACATTATAGTCCATGGAGACTCTTGCTTGCCTGCTTCACCTCATCTGTCAATCTGTCCATCACCACTGCAAATAGGAAGGGCTCAGAGCTGATCTCTCATGTAATCCCACCCCACCTTGAATCCATCTGTCACTCCTACCCCACATTTCACTGCTTTCTCACTGTCCTCATAGATGCCCTGCACCACCCTCATGTACTTTTACGCTTTTTATCAACTTGTTCTGACTTTGTCTGCAGTTTTCCATCAACACTCTCAAAGCAAAAATTGCACCTGTAGTGCTCTTTCTCAGCATGAAGCCACTACTGCTCACTAATTGTCACTTCCCTCTTTAACATTCAACAACTATTTCCCATATCTCTATAGTATGGCTTATCATCTTTATCCTCCTGTAGTTATAACAGATCTCCATGTAACCTCTGTTCTTGAAAATCAGTACCAGTAGACTTCGTCTCCACTCCTCAGGTCAGAGGAATGGTTCAGATGACATCTCCTTACCACCTTGGTAAGGTGGTCTTTCCATTTGTTAGTACATTTCCAATTGTATTCTAAGCACTCTAACCTGCAGCACATCCTTTTCAGCTTAATCTCTTACTAATTGAAACAGACCATTTTCTCCTACCTAGTGTCCAGCTTCTAGACATCTCCATATGAGAACTTTTCTTTGCCATACACCGGACAAAAAATCTTGGCATTGCACTTCATCTGTACTTTTCCAGCATTCTGGTAATTCTTCCCTACCACCCAGAGGCTGTCTTGACTCCCCTCTAAATTCTCTGCAACATTCTTCCTTTTTCAACTTCCAACATTTAAGCATTGGCTCCGCCTTCACTCACTCCTTCTTGATTTCCAGAGTCATCCTAGAGACTACTGTCCATTGCTGCCTTGCTACATTTCCCTCGTCAACGCCATGCAGTCTGTCTCTTTGAGACTGAACCTTCTCTATAGGATGTACCTGATCTGTGTACACCTTCCTCTGCTGTTATATGTCACCTTATGCTCCTCCCTCTTCTTGAAGTATGTGTTCATAGGTCTTTCCATAATTATCATCATCTCTGTTCCTTTCACTTATGTATCCATAAGTGGAGGCTGAATCCTGGTTTACCATAGCTCTCAGGAGCATAGGGAGGGTTTGTCGTCTGTATCTAGTCTCTCATTGGTTCTCTGTTCAGCTATTTGACATTCCCTTGCCTTCCTCTTAAAAGATGAAATTATTATTCTAGGGAGCAGTTGTGGGGAGAGATTTCAGAAATTCACCCACCTTAGAGTCTCCTGAGCATCAAACAAAAAGCACTCTGTGTTGCGAAAACACCAATGTAGACCTGCTTCTTTTAATTGTTCTGAGAATTGAGGACCTTCAGGATGAAGTAGGGTGGGGATGTCTCATTAAAAGGGGAAATGTATCTGCTTTCTTACAGAAACATGACCCCACATTCTTGTCACACAATGTCAAACACTGTCTTTCTGTTTAATGGTGCCAACACGCACACAAGGTGTCCTTTCCTGTCAGTAGTGCATTGCACTACTTCTTAAAGATTCTCTTTTAAGGAGCGAAAGCTTTAAGGAAGTTGGAAGGATGCTGGTGGAGTCTGGAGTTCATGAGTCTATGGTTTGTGTCCAGGTTTGGATTTGAGTTTTGTGATGATTTACAATGTTTACACTTTCTTACTTTTTCTTTCAATTACTTACATTAGTAAGTTCCAAGTGCAAAAACAACTTGTGTATGTTTAGACACTGAAAACCAATTTGTTACATTTAGGTACTGATAACTGTGTTTCCACAAGCCCCGCTGGTTTAGAGACTTATTCATTATGAAGAAAACAAGACAGTCAGCGATCCATCGATTTGCTTTGCAAGGGAGGCCTCGTCGGTGTCTACCACAAAATGACCCCAACGACGGGCTCCGCTTGCTGCCTTTTATTGGGAAAACAGTTCACACAATACATATCACAGCAAAAGCACCACCCACGTAAAACCCCCAAATGGTTACAAAGGCAAGGCACTGTGTGTATATGTGTGCATGTGTGTGTGGGAATGTGTGTCTTCCTGAACACAACTGTTTCTACAACATCCTGGTCATAAAGAGGGTAGTCTCCCCCACACCCAATGTATGGTTCACCATAGATAACACAGTGAAGCCATACAAAGGGCAGGAAGCTTACCAAACATCAAACAGAATCTTCACAAGGGATGTGTAATAATCCTCCCCCAGCACAGAGTGGCTGGAGAGGTGGTCAGGGACAAAGGAATGTCTTGATCCTATAGATTGAACTAAGACCTTACAAATTTAAGAAGCATAATGACAAACATTCAACAATTAGACCTAACAATAACTACTTTGTCAGTCTTAGATACTAAAACCTACTTGAACTGCTCAGCTTAGGCTTAAGAAAACAATTAGGCTTTGGTCTCAAATACACCTTCTTGCAACATTCTTGAAACCATGTGGTCCTTCAAAAATGTTTATGAAAAATCTGTAAATCTTTCCATAAACATACACAGATAAACATAAATTATCTATCAAGATGCATTAATACAAAGATTCATAACCTATCTATTAATTGAGCTAAACAGATCAAAGCCGATCATGATAACAGACTGTAGCAAATTCCTCCTGCCTACATCTACACACATTTATGGCATTCACTTAAGGCCATTTTAAACTGTAATCCTGGCTAAAAATGAAAAATGGTGCGGGGTGGATGATGTCAGAGAACAGCTGAACCGTGAAGAGCGCTGCATATATATATATAACTGTGTTCATATATAATTATATATAATTGTATGTCCACTCCTGTCCCACTTCTCTCTTCCAGTGAACGAGTGGTTGCTGAAGTAGCCTTCTCAGATGAACGTGAAGACGAGACAGAGATGGAGTTCAGGATGAGGGGAGAGAAATAGAAAAAGAAGTGAGGCAGGGAAGAATGAAGAAGAAAACTGGTCTCGAGGCTGTATCTCATCTAAGACTTTTTCATGGCATTGTATAAAGACAAATAACACCAGACATTATTTAAATGAAGGAACTTTGCATTGCAAGGAAAGAGACTCTTCTTTTCATACAGTGAGAACTGTTTGAACCTTTGATCAAACACATGCTAACAGGTCCTTTCCCCCACTGAACAATTATATCTATATGAACATTTTGATATCAATACTTTTTGGGAGAAAACAAAAAATAGACAACCTAAAAAAAACACGAAGCATTTATTTGGTAGCCAGTCAACCACTATGACAACCTTAGGGACCTTTGTAGATAAAAGATGTTGCTATCAGTAAGAAATTCCTAGAACTAAGTCATTGCCTTTCCCCTGCTCAACAATATGGAGCCATCAGGAAGACTCACGTGGACGTTTCATTTCAGTCACCAACAGGGCATGCAATCAGCAAAACCAACAGAGAGGGAACACAGCCTTACCTTGTCATTTTCGAAAACTAGAGTAATGCCATGGGACAACTTCCAAAGCTTTCATATGGTCTCAAAGCAACTGGTGTCTTGGCCTCATATGTACATATTATAATTATCAATACAAAAGAAAAATGAATGTGTAAAGAAAAAAATAATGAAATAACATTCAAAAAATATATTAAGAAGATATTAAAAAGACAAAAAGTTAAGAATTTTAAAAAGCTTGGCGCACTTTGAATTCTGCAGCAGTTCTCACTCTGAGCTGATGCCTTTTATTTCTGTTTTATTTGTTTACAATGGTCATACACTGTGTTTGATGTTATCAGCCCAATAAATGTGTCTGGAAAGTTAACTTTGGAACATGTTTCACTATCTGAGGATTTTACTTGTTATATCTCCACCTGTTTGTACTGTTTCACATTAAATATGTTCATGTTACAGTATTCCCCTTTAGAGGCTTGCTCAATAACTCTGGCCACACCGAAATGGATGCACCGAAATGCTTGCAGGTAGGCTTCAGAATCTCAGAATGGGCAGCTTGGAATTGCTGGTTAGGATACAGATCAAACTCAGGTAGCACTGTCAGGGTTACTGTGATCTGTAGTACTCTTTTAGATCACATCAGTTGACATCAGAGGACATGAAAAGAGGAACCTCACATGTTAGGAAATGCAGATCTAGCAGATTGCTGCCTGCTTTACAGTAATGGTGTCTCCATGGGTTGCTGAAGAAAAATTTTGTGAAGAACTCAATGGTGGAAAATGTCTGGCTCCGGGAGAAACAGACCATCAGCATGGTTGTGACAAGCATATTAAAGCCCAAAAGCAGGAAATGTATTTTAGAATTTATGGAAAGAAGAGTGACCAATGTTGCAATTATAAAGAGAAACAACAAAACGAAAGAAACCAAATTTCCTCAAGCAAAAAGTAATACTGCTGACCAAAGGAGTGTTTATCAATATCAAAGGCAGCAACTGATTTACAAACAGTGGGAAACTTGTTGTGAGCTGCTTCAAGCTGTAGTCATATTCTGTTGGATGCAGAAATCCAACTGAAGGGCGCATGCTTAGTTAGTGTATTGAAATGCAGTGTCACAAAAAACTGCAGGTAGTTCACAGGGATCCATTCAAACTCTGAATGAACTCGTGAACTTGGGGGTTTAGAAAGCATCTTAGAACTACTGGATATTATTCTGGTATACTCAGTTAAGGTATTTTGGAGTTTGAATCTGAAACACATATAAATATGTTCCATCATCTTATCATTAGCCTCTGGATGCTGGTGGCTACACTGCAAATCTTAGTCACTATGCTGGGAATGCAAGCAATCTCTAACAGTGGCACTTTAGTCACTAGGTTAGGGATTCTATCTACTATTAATATGAATATTTGTTTATTAATTACTGTACTCCCGTTCTCCAAGCTAAGCTAATGGCCGCTTGTATCACTAGCTACACAATCTGCAGGGTTAAAGATAGACAGAGTCTCCGTAAAAAGAACCTCTATCAGTTCTAAGGTTTTATGTATTGGAACATAACAAAAAATAAAAACACAAGAATTTAGCAGCTCACAGGTTTCTTTCCCTTGTTTAGTTCAACTGTCTTTGATCTAAAGATAAGTTAGATGAAGATTTGAAGATGAAGTGCATTTTACAGCATCTCAATTCAATTTGCATATAATTGCTTGGAGAACCACAGAGCTCCACACAGCACAGTCCTTTAATTGGGTTGAGGTTTAGACTTTGTCTAGATCATTGCAACGGATTCTTTTCTTTTTTAGCCATTTTATCTAGATTGCATGCTCAATTTTTGTGATGTTTAAGCTGGTGAACCGTTGAACCTGATATTTTACTCTAAAATACTTTAATATATGTAGGAGTTCAAGGTTGACTCCAGGGTTCCCAGGTTCTGTGGCTGCAAAACAAACTAAATTCATCATCCTTCCACCATTGTACTTGATATTGTTTGTGCTGATATGCAGTGTTGGATTTTTAACCAAGCGTGTCTCCATGCATTATAAGCAAGCATTGCAACTTCGGACTCCTTGCTCCAAAAGTCTTGTGGTCTGGTCTGGTACAATTTTGCAAAGCTTAGCCATCCTGCCACAGTCTTTGAGAGAGAAGAGACATTCTTCCAAACAAGTTATACTTTTTAATATTTTACTCACAGTGAGCGCAAGAGTCTACATGAATGTCTGCATCTTGTGATATTATAATCGATCTAGTACATATGCAACCCAGAGAGTGGACTTCAAGGAAATATGAGGAATGATTACCTGTCTGACAGATCTCCAGCTACCCATGTTAAATGGTAAATGCACTCATAGCGCTTTACACAATTTTCCTCATTCACACCAGCAATTTTTTCTATGCTCTACATAAGTGCTTTCTATCTAACATTGACACACCAATGGATGTATTAGAGAGCAAACTAAGGTTAATATCTTGCCTGGGGATATTGGGCAAGATATCAAAAGCAGAAGGGGATTGAACCACCAACCTTCCAAATACTAGGTGACCTGAGCTACAGACACCCCAGGATACATCGAGAGCAGAATATAATCTAGGCTTATTTTTTTAACACATGGCTTCTTATTTTTTTTCTTAATTTTTGCTAAGGATGTGTTAGGTATATTTGTTATGTCCTGTAGCCTTTGAATTTTAAAGAGGGTGTACTTTTTCTGACTGAGGATCTAATCAGTTCTTCACTTTGGCTCACTAACACTTGTGCGATAAAGCTTTACACATTAGTTATTATGTCAGTTATCAGTATTAATAAGAACATTTGTGTTCAACAACATACTGTATGTTTCCTTTTATCAAAACTTGTTATTAAATGGATATGAAACAGAAAGCAGTGTTTCAGATTCACTGCATATACAATGAAAAAATATTGCAGGTGTTAAAGTGGATTGGTGTTCCTGCACCTTCAGCTTAACAGTAATTATATCTGAAAAGCAATCCCTGTGCTATTGAATTCTTTAAATATTTCTTCTAATCCTTAGAAGAAATGAGATGTAAAAAAAAAAAAAAAAGTTTTCGTACTTTTTTTTTAAAGAAGGAGAACTTGTTTTTTTTTTAAAGCTTTTCTCTACCTTAGCAGTAATATTCTGTAACTCTACAACTATGTTTGGGAGAGAAGCAAAATAAACTGTTTGTTAGTTGTTTGTTTTAAACTGTTGTTCTCCTACTAGCAAGAACCACAGCTACCCCAAATTATAAAAAGGTAAACTAGAAGCATGCTTTCATAAAGAGGGTGATGCAGAAATATGGTACAAATATGGAACTGCTCTGTAATATCTTTTTTTAAGTCCATGGTATTGAATTCACAAAAGTAAGCAATGGTCTGGACATTCTGTCAAGGTCCAAACAGTCAGTGGCCTGAAAACTCACCCCTGACTGGTGAGTCAATGAGTTAGTGAGTCAGACTGGCTAACAACCTTTCAGCTGAATACTAAGAGTAAGAATAGATTTTTATGTTAAAATATTCAAACTAGGGGTGTCAAATTATCGCGTTAATTGCGATTAATTAATTACAATGCTATTTAGCGCGTTATGTTTTTTAATCTCGTTAATCTAATTTTTAATCTCTTGACGTCATTGATTTTGTATGAGAGTTGCTATGTTATAAAATCCGTTTTTATGTGCTGGGCTCCTTGTGCTTGACTTGTTGGGGGTGGAGTCACGTCGTGAGGTCAAGGTGAGAGGTGGTGATTAGCTTACAGTGTGGATATGGAGGCGCATCTGAGAGTTGTTGGCCCAATGAACGGGAAATTTGTATTTCATAAACGCCCCGACGGCACCATTGACAAAGGTAAAGTGGTCTGCCTAGAGTGTAAGAAGGAGTTTGCTTACCACCGAAGCAGCTCAAGTTTGGCCTATCACCTCAACGCAAAGCACCCAGCCGCGAGTGCAGCAACAGCTAGCAGTGAAGACATTAGCAATATAGCAAGCCAGAGCAAAGCTTTTCGCCAAACAAAACTAGAGAATACCCCTCGTATGAGCAAGTCTGCGACCGACAGGCTGACTAATGTTATTGCCAAGTGGATAGCGATGAACTGTAGGCCGATAAATATAGTAGAGGACGAAGGATTGACAGAGGTGTTGCAAATGGCGTCCAATGACCCGTCATACAAGCCGCCGTGCAGGACTACAGTAACGACCAAAATCAGCAAAATGTACGACGGCGAAAAGAAAAACAAACTTCAGATTTTGGCAGAGGATTCTCCCAACTGTGTTGCTATAACCGGAGATCACTGGACCTCAGCTGGCAACCACAGCTATTTTGGGGTGACTGGACACTTTATTGATAGTGAGTGGAACCTCAACTCATTTGCACTGACTGTCATGAGAACAGAAACCAGGCACTTTGCTGATAAATGCGCCGAACAGTTCCTCAAGGTAGCAAATGACTGGGGTATTGAAAACAAGATATCCACCATTGGCACAGACAGCGCAGCAAACATGCTGGCTGCTATGAGAGCACTTCCATATGAGCACATCGCCTGCAATGCTCACATTCTCCAGAGGACCATCACGGTATGTCTCGATAGCAGTGGTTTTGTCGGTGTACTGGCAAAGTGCCGCAAGATTGTTGGTCATTTTAAACAAAGCCCTGCGAGTACCACAGAACTTAACCAACAACAAGTAGCACTCGGAAAGAAGAGCGATCAACTTATACAGGATGTACCCACCAGGTGGAACTCGACTCTCGCAATGGTCTCACGCCTCCTATGTAACCGAGAGGCTGTCCAGGCTACGTTGGACCAACAGAACCACAGGTTGGTCTTGCCAACCGAAGCTGAGTGGGCGAAACTGCAGAGGCTGGAGCTCCTGCTTGAACCATGCAAGTAAGTTCAAATAAACACCTTCCCATTTTAATTATATGTTACATGTGTAAAATCAAAATTAATGAACATAACAAGGAACTTTTAAGGACAATTAAATTGGAAATCAGTTACACTTTGATTTAAATGAATCCAGCTAGGTTTATTTAGCAAACCTCTCCACCTCTGCAGGTATGTGACAGAGCTGCTGGGTGGTGAGGCCTACGTCTCTTGCTCTGTAGTGCTGCCTGCTTTTCGCCATCTGTACCGTGTCATGGACATTACTGATGATGATCCTGCCTACGTGGTGAAGTTCAAGAATGCCTTCCAGAAGGATCTGGCAGCACGACGAGCTAATGGCAACGAGATATGGTTCGAGGTGGCCACAGCATTGGATCCACGGTTTAAGGATTTGAAATGTCTTCCAAGAGAAAAGAGGGAACAGGTAGGACAATAAGGTTAAGCTGGACTAATGAGTCCAATTCATTATCAAATCAAACTTTTATTTATTATATGGAACACAAAGTTCT